TAAGCTAAGTGTGAACAGTATATGGGTGATAGAAACGAATGTTCATATTTCATCTGTATTTAGAAGTAAAGAAAAAAGAAGAAAAAACGAAAACTATACGAAGAAGAAGAAGAAGAAGAAGAATAAGAGGAGTAGAAGAAAAAGAGTAAAAAGAAGGAAAGAAATAAAAAATAAGAGAAGAAAAATAAATGAACGAAAAATAAAATATGAAGAAAAGGAACAAAGAAGAAAAATAAAAAGGAAGAAGAAGAAGAAGAAGAAGAAGAAGAAGAAAAGGAAAAATGAAAGAAAGAACGAAAAGGAAAATAACGGAAGGAAGAAGGAGAGGAAGAAGAAGAAGAAGAAGAAGAAGAAGAAGAAGAAGAAGAACAAGGCTTTTCGCTTGCCGGAACCATTACATCATTCATCTAGGCTTTAGAACTTTTACTGGAGTCCGTTCTCAAAGAGTGTCAGTATCTTGCGATCTAAACCAGCAAGAAAATGATCTCGTGGCTTAATGGTTAGAGCATTACATTTCTGATCGAAAGGTCACAATTTCAAATCCCGGGCGGATCACAAATTGTGATCGGGTAGGACTTGCTGATGACGGCCAATAAGCCAGAAATGGCCAATCTCGTATTTGCCGGCCGCCTAGACTACTAGCCGCCGTTCGGTTGCTGGTGGGGCTCGAGAATGAGCTCCCAAGCAGAGCGGGACGAGTGTGGTTCGTTAGCGATGATTGAAAGTTCGGCAACAAGTGACATTCAAAATAATGATATAAGGATTCCTCCTACGCACTTTTTTTTAACTATTTTGAACTAGCGGGCTTTGAGGGTAAGCAAAGTCGTACCTTAGCATAGTAGTACTATGATTTATCTACTAGCTCACACAAGATCAAAAATGCTTATACCTACTTATATATTATGGTCACTGTTTGTAATTATTGCGGCCCCATTAGTTTGGTCACTATTTTCCTAATACCGATGCAGCGATGGTGCTGGTGGTTGCGATGGAGATTAATATTAGCGTTATTTTGGGCTGAATTTTGTTCAGCAATGAATTTTCCTTTCCACCCAGACATAAAGCTACTTACAACTGCACTACACGTTGCATAAATTTAAGTAACCTTGCAGAGTTCTCATGCGTAGGCAAAACCCGGGTATCCGCACCTCTACCACGCAAGAGAAAACTCCAGCCTCGCCAATAGGATTCGAATCAAGAACCGCTGGGCCGATGACCGACATCCTAGACCACACGGTAACAGTCAGTCGCCAAGGCCACAAAAATCTGCATCAGCGTCTGTAAAGCATGCACAGTGCCCACCTCTCCACATCGCTACCACGCCTTCCAATCCTACGTCCACGTAGTCTGTCACCAGAGGGTGACTCCTGGAGAACCAGTGTCAGTAACCCGACGTAATTCATCATCCTCGCCACCCCACTAACACCGTCTGAAAATATGATGCTGCCGTAACATGTGCACATCCGACCAGGTTTGCATGCATGAAATAGGTGTCAAGCTAGCTTCTGGACATTGACTGACAGGCTGCAATGACTCCTCCTTAAGGTGGCTTTTAGAGCCCTGCAACTCAGCTGGAATTCGAGCCAGATGTGGCGGCACGCTAAGGGGTGGCCCTGGCCGTGTCAACCACCTGCACCCTCTCCTGTCTCCGGTTTTCTCGACTCGATCATGACAACGGTCTCAGGTGGGGAAGTGGGAGAGAGTGCGATAGGTGAATCGCAATTCTATCCTCACAATAATCTAATTAACGCGCGAGGCAGCGCGTTGGCTTCGGCTTGCTAAAGCGCGGGGTGTAAATCGTCGGAATGGATGGTCGAACTATTAATCATCTGGAGTAGAGGACCAGTAACGTCTGTGGCACACGGAGACGACAGATCATAGCACAGCACTGCATTACTTACTACGATAAATCTGACGTGTTTCAATTTATTGGGACGCGTGAAAGACCGCGACTGTGAAAACCACTAGCTGGGAGTGACTGAGCAGAACGGCGGCGAGAATTGCAATCACTCATTTCTAATTTGATCCTGATGGAACTTGTCATGTCTGCGAGATCCGAACTCATATACTGCGGCACGCGGCGA